ACTAAGTGAAGAGCAAGTCTCTCCCAGAACCCATTAGATGTCACTCGCTGATGACAGGCTTTCAGGAACACCTACATCTTTGTATTTACTAGAAACTGTTTTCTAGCTGATGGCACTTCCTGAGTAATTGCCAACATTGGGGTTTAGGTTTGGAGATAATCCTATGCTTTATGACATCCTAGGAGTTCCACATTCTCTCAGCAAATTGCAATTATATAACAAACGTAGAGTGTAGGAGTAATTCCTCAAGGTAGGAGTTTTGCTACATTGCTGAGAACAAGCACCTGTCCAGAGTTAAACAATATTCTTGCTGGCATGGCAACTCTGTTTCAGGAGAATAGGAAACAAAGAGAAAGAAATGAATTCTGAGAAAGATATACCCCCTCCAAGATTTTATTCAACACAAAAGAAGCAAGAGGGGGAACAAAGAATGAAGATAAAGGAAAGAAAGCTGTTTGGATCTAAGCCAAATAAACTTAAGTGGTTTAAGGAATAAATTGGCGGAGTAATTCGAATCACGGGCAGGTGCGATGAATGTAATTTAGTAAATGCTCAGGAACCTGCCAAAGGAGAGAAAAATGTGCTGCTTTTGAGATCATTTCCCAGCAGCTTCATAAAAGAAAACCGATTACAGGAATTTAATAAGTAAAACAGAGCCAGAAATATTGTAATCAAATGAGTTTTTAATTACATTTCAAGCAGAAAAAAATTCCAATTTGTGCCCCTGGGATTAAAAAAAAAATAAGTTCTAGAGAGAAATGCTTTTTGTAGCAGGAAAATAACATAAACACTAATTTCCATAGGAATTATAGTAGTCAGTTTAATTAAAAGGCTTGATCAAAGTAAAGAGGAGCTGGTGCCAAACCATACTAAATAAAACGACAACAGTCGTTCCTCTCTCACACTACTATCTAAATGAAAACACCGAGCACCGAACAGGAACCAGGCATCTGCATTTGTCTCATGGAAAGAAAGGGAATTGTGATCACTGCCTGAGTTATTATATTGTCTTGTTTATCATTATATGAAATCACTGGGACATCTGATTTAAAATTAGGTGGCTTTGCTTAGTGTGATAAATAAGCATCACAGGAGAGGAAAGACAGAATATTCTGTTCACATGGCATTGATGTGTAGGAAGATGCCACCTATGCAGGGTACAGACTCACTATTACTGCTAGGTTTTTGCCCCTTCCCCACTCCCTTAACTTACATCTAGTTACATTTTACTTGTTCCTCTGTAACTCCCTGGAGAGAAGTGGAGGTTATTTAAGGGGATAGGTCAGGTTTATTGACAGGTGGTTTGAGGTGTGCACGAGTGGAGGCACACACAAATTACAGTGCTTTTGCTCCTTTTGGGATGAATGGGACAATGCCTGCAATGTATCTGCATGGACCAGAGTTATAATCTGTGGCCACAGAAAAATAGAAGTTAACTGACTCAACACATAAAGTAGGAATATCACCTTTCCAAAGGCTATCACTCCCAAGGCCTGAAAAATTAAACTGGATTTGACACACACCTGTAATCCCAGGACACAGGAGAATGGACCAGGAGGATCATGAAATTGAGGCCAGCCTAGTGAGACCCTGACTCAAACAAACAAAAAAAATTAAAACTACCTTTAGGCTTAGTGTAACAAGAGAGAAACTTTTTCAGAACTTTAGGGAACTTGAGTAAAACAGACTGGCTGGCAGGGCAGGGGAGAAAACTAAATTACTCTTCCAATGGGGAAAAAGACTGTGGCTTTTGAGTTAGGAAAAGAATAAAGGAGTGAGAGAACAGGGATATCACTTCCCATGACACTCCAATGTTCAGTACAGTAGGCATCCAAAGTGTTGAGAGTGACTGAGTTTCCTATGAAAGGGAGGATGAAGTGGCATTTTGCACTAAGAATGATGCAGAACAGAGTCAAGAAGGTCAAATGGTCTCCTGAAGGAAGTCAAAGAGCCCAAGGAAGTAAGACTTAGAAAGACTTGCTTAAAAGATCCCTAGGGCACAGAATAGATTTGAGATCAAGTTTTGAGTAAATCTCAAGAGAGGGAAACCTCAAGTGACATAAAGATTTCACTGAAAGAAAATGTCAGAATTCATGAGCAATGTATACGTATCCAAGATGGTGGGTAATAGAATCGATGGATAAAAGGAAGGAAAGAAAAATGTGGATGAGGAGGTAGGTCAGGCCTGACCTCAAATTGATGACAATAGCAGTCACACTCAGTGTCCTCAGAAGCCCATGTCTTCAGTATCTTCCTCACCACAACATCTAAAAACTTATGAATAATAAAGTTATTAACCAGTTTGAATTGATTACTGATAAATGTTGAAACCACACAGTTTCATTGTTTTTAATTCTTGACTTTTTAAGAGTGACCCATTTCATGGTAAATCCTCACACTTTTCTCTATATATTCATTCTATATGCAACACTCATGCCCTACCCTTGATCTTTACTTGAAAAAAAAATGATATTCTCCATACCTTCCAAAGCCAAGTGTAAAATTAAAAAAGGAATGCTTAGCTTCATATGAAGACTCTCATATTCTTCCCACAGGGAAAGACAATCATTTGTGATCCTAATGTAGAACCCAACATATGAGGGGCATGTTTTATTATCTGAAAAATGCAGTCATTGTGAGGAGTATGAGATGAAGTACATAAAGCAGCTGACAATCATGTAACACATTGAGGTGTCCATACTGGAAGCTCCACCATCCAGTTGGGGACCCCAGGTTTCTGTATTTCTGGAGACCCTGGAGATGGAATGAACCCAAGGAATACAAATGCATAAAAATCCATGGGCTCCCATTAGATTGTGCCCATTCGTGAACTGCTATTGTAAAAATGACAGCCTGTGAAGATGTTTTAGATGATTAGATAATTTAACCAGTTAGAAAATATATATAAGTGGGATAACATTCAAGGCAAAACCCAAGTGGTAGTAGTGATTAGCTTTTGAATTATCAGATTACAAATTATTGCTCTTTTCTACCTCTTTTAATCCTATTTTTTCTGTATTTTCTAAAATTAACACTTAAGAAATATGCAAAAAAATTGCAAAAGGTAAAAAAGCATCATTAAAAAAATAACCAAAAGTAAAAAGCCAGGTACAATGGCTTACACCTGTAATCCTAGCTACTCAAGAGATGGAGATGGGGACGATCACTCATGGTTTGAGGCCAGCCCAGTAAAACAATTAGTGACCCCCTCTCAAGCCAATAAAAAGCTGAGTATGATAGCACTTGCCTGTCGTCCCAACTACTTGGGAAGCATAAATAAGAGGACTGAGATACAGGCCTGCCTGAGCATAAAAGTGAGACTCTATTTTAAAAATTGGCTAAAGCAATAAGGGTCAGTGGCATGGCTCAAGTGGTTGAGTGCCTGCCTTGTAAGTATAAGGTCCTGGGTTCAAATCCCAAACCACCAAAAAAAAAAAACCCTTATATTTTAAAAGGATAAAGGCCATGATTTTAAAAGAGTAAGTGTCATTCAAATCTTACTGCATTTTTACTGGACTGTTCAGAAAATTAAAAGGCCCCTAAGCCCTTTGTTATCTATATTGTACAAAGGCGGCTTTACTTACATTTATTATTCATATTTGTCATTCACATTTACTCACATAGATGCTTAATAGATACTTTTGCTGATCATACTTTACTGGTTGAATATGTTTGAAGGCTTTCACAATGCAAAATAAAAAAAAATTAAAAGAAAACAGAGGGGCTGAAGATATAGCTCAAAATTAGAGTGCTTCTCTAGTCTGTGCAAGGCCCTGGGTTAGATCCCCAACACTGGAAGGAAGGATGGGAAGAAGGAAGGAAAAGAGGGATGGAGAGAGGGAGGGAAGAATGAGAAGTAAATATAGTGACTCACTTAAAAGAAAAAAAGAAACTCTATAATTGTTAGATCCACCTTTTAAGTTTAAAAAATAATTAGTGAAGCAGAGACTAATGAAATTTCCCTGTTGGGTAGAATGAACTATTTCCCTTTGGCCTGTAAGATGGCCACCTATGGCTGTTTAGTCAGAGCTTCCTGAATTTGTTTTAATACCAGTTCAGAGGCAATATTCTCAGGCCCATCCCTGCTAGACTCTGATGTAGAAGTTGCAGAATGACTCATTTTACATTAAATTCAAATGAACCATCTTAATATTAGGGCTTTTATTCCACTACCAGGGTAATCCAGGTTTTATGAGGCCACAAGCTTAAACCACTTGGGAGTAGGCGGACTCTTATTAACTGTACCCACGCACATGTACACACAAAAATTAAACACAAAAGAGAGAAGTTAGAAGGATCTTCTGTGAAGACCCTGAAGCCTGAGCTTTGTAAGCTAGCAATCTATCTGCCCTTGTCTGATGAGGCCCCACATTTTCTCTTCCTTCATCTCTCCCACAGCCCTCTGGTTACTTTCTCCCATTTTCCTCTCCCCTTCTGTCATGCCTATTTCCATATATGTTCCCATGTTCATCCATGTATTTAGCTCAGCTCCCAGATCTTGTAGCTTTGTAAATGAACTTCTCTCCTTGTCTCTGGATTTTACCTGGCCTTTTTTATTGGGGAATGTCTGCCCAGGACCATGTGTGGCAGAGCAACTGTAAGTTTATCTTTGTAAAAATTTAAGTTCACAATCTACTGAGATTCAGAGCCCTCTCTAGCAGGCCAGACACATATATTAGTAGATACGTGTGAGCTGGATATTTTGTCTCCTGTCTTGCTTGATGTGGTTGTAAAATAGGTTGGGAGTCTGAGAGACTGGCTCCCCCTAGAGTTGTACACAACCATCCTGCCTTATTTTTTTATTCCCCGTGTTAACTCTCTTAATACAACATAATGGTGGTAAATACATATTTACTTCTGGTAAAGAGCTTGCGTTTACCAAAATAATCATCATTTTCATTTCTTACAGCCATTTTCCATTCTTTTTATGAAGGTAAGGTAGAAAATCCTGTCAGTGGCATGGGTTCCTCTCTCCCCACCTGTTTCTTGTTTTGTTTCAGGCATTGGTGAAGGTCAATGTGAAATTAAAGCCAATGCTGGATTCAGTAGCTGCGAACCGAAGGAAATGGGAAGAGTTGCACCAGAAAAGACTGCTGGTCTCCACTGCCGCCCCTGCCAGCCTTCTTGTGTCCGGAGAGGACAGAAACTAAACCTCTGTTCTGCAAACGACCGCAGCCTGAAAGGCCAGCTTCAACCCACATCACCCTCTTGTTCTTTTTAGCTCAGACAGACCTAAAGATCTCAGGGGTGTGCTGGGGTGGGCTTGACTTGAGGTGAGGTCAGCAGGGAGAAGAGGACAGAAGGACAAAGGAGGAGGTGGGGCAGGGAGCCTGGGCCCCTAAAGTTTCCCTGATGAACCCACACAGGCTGAGACAAAGGCTCTGGGCAGAGGCCTGATCTGGACCCACAGACCTGAGGACAGCCAGCCCCTCTCATTTGGAAGTGTGGGAACACAGAACAGTGGGAACATCATTGGCACTGCTTCATTTTGTATATTGCTCTTTTGTGTTACAAGCCAAGCACTGTCAGCCTTTGCATCCCCCCGGAGGGTCCTTTTGTGCCAGGCTGTCTCAAGAATCCAGATTTGTATTCTGTAGAGGCATCTTATTTTTAAGCTACAGCTTCTTAATGATGGATCAAAGCTTTTAGAATCACCTATTTGAAAGATAAACTTACTATGCTTATAAATACCAACCAATCCCAATTTTCCCCCCAAAAGGACCATAGTAGGAATATAGCAAATGTGTTTGTCAAGATTTCTAACCATACATCCAGATCACAGCACCTTTTTTCAGAGTTTTAAACTTCAGCCTTCATTGTAGACCAAGGCTTTTTCCAAGAGGAATGAATGAATAGACTTTAAGCAAAAATGAAAGGAAGTCTATAGCCAGATGTACCAGAATGACATATGGACATCTAGGAACTACTTCTAACAGTCAGAGATCTTTCACAGGACCAGCAGAGCCACAAAGAGCACTAACCAGCTTGAGTTCTCCTAGTGATAAGTTTTAGTATAAAATTTAAGGTTACTACCAGTAGCCAACTTAAATCCAAATGCAGAGATAGTCAATTTTGCATTTTCCTTCAGAAATAATGCATGAAAAATTGAGGAATAACACTATGGGTAAAAAACACATATTCCAAAGAAAACCAGGTTTATAATGGACAAAACTGTATTAGATAGATACAGTGACTAGTAAGCTGCTTTGCTGCTCACTTCACACAAGAAATTGAAGATATGGTGTATCTTACCCAAAGAATGTGGGGCTAGAAGACAGACTTCTATCCCTAGATTTAGGACCACTGACTGGTTGACTCTGGACAAATTACTAAATTTCTCTGAACTTGGTTCCTCATTTGTCAAATGAGATTACTAGGAAATGATTTTTAAACATGCCTTAACTTTAGAATTCCTTGTTCAAATAAATCTTTCAAGGAATCCCTGAGACGTAAGACTTCTAAAATCTGAAGCCCTTTATTTGAAGCAGGTTTGGGGGATCCACAACCCCTACACATCTTCATCTCTTTGATTATATATATGGTATCCACAGAGGAACTCGGGATTTTGAAAATCCCTGGGCTAGATGAAAACTGAGATTCATTCCAGCTCTGAAAAATCAAAAACTTTTCTTCATTTTACTGATCAGTATCAGGTATTAACTTTACTACTCAAATCATGAAGGAAATGGGGACCAAGTTCCACAAGGGACATCATTTGCCTGGCACAGAGGAGATATTTGGGAAATGTTTGAAGAAGAAATGAGTAAACTTAAGGTACCAAAACAGAAGCGAGGTTGGGGCGAGACAATTGTAGAGAAGAAGAAGTAATATTTGTTATAGCAAGAAACAAAGAGAAGAAGAAGTAATATTTGTTATAGCAAGAAACAAAGGAAATTACAAACCTGGCAAGGTGAAAGGGAGGAAGAGAAGAAAAAATAGGAAGACCAATAAAGGAAAGATGGGGACTGAGGCAGATGGTTAAGAGAAATGTCAAAGGAAAGGTGAAAGACAATCCAAACAAAGAAAAACAGCACTTCCAGCCAAAAAGATGAAGGTGCAAAATCCTGTCATCAATAGAGCAGGAAAGAGAGACAATTGAGCAGGGAGGGGCTTGACAAAGGAGAGAAGGAAGGAGCGGGAGTCCTAAAAAATAATGTCCCCAGCTACCCTTTATAGCTGTCTGCAGGGAAGACTGGAGAAACTAGAGGAGAAAATGAGTGCAGGAAAAATTGCCTCTGCAGAGCAGGTAAGAGGAGGTCGTTCAGATTTATGGATTTTATTAAGCTAGTTTTCTGAATCACTCTTCTATAAAGGAAAATAGCTTCTGCAGGGCTGTCTCCCCTCCTTCAGGTGAGGAACAAAGGATGGGTGGAGTGAGGAACAGACCCTAGGCTGTAAGAGCATCACGTGTTGGCAGGACAGAAGCATTGCAGGTGTTTGTGGATATTGTGCCACATCACGTTTATAGCACAAACAGGAATTGAAAATCAGTCCATGTGAGGCCAGCGATGAGCCCACATCTGTTATCTTTCCCAACAATAAATAAATAAATATCCAAACAAACAGAGGCCAGTCCATCTACAGCAAAATGTGAAAGCATGTGCTTTAACTCGGACTGTTAGAGACTGCAGGCCCCACAAGCATTGTAGCTACCTTGACCGTTGATGCTACATATAGCTAAGGGAAACATAATTTATAACATAAACCCTACGGCTTCCACTAAGGTTGAGTTTTCCTCTCATTTTCTTGCCTTTTTATTGGCTTCACTGCACGGTTGCCAATAGCAACATCCACGGGTAGCAAGGGGAGTTCAACACCATTGCAATCTGCCATACAGTGGGAGCCCTGACAATGTCAACTATCAATCAAGTAGCTGTTTGTAATTGCCTCCATCTATTTCTCCTGTCTCGAAGTATCTTTCCTATTGTGGGTCACGATTCAGAAACTGCTGACTAATGCCATGGATCTGTTCCTCCATGACCACAAATCGGTGGAAAAGAAGGTAGCCACCTTCCTGGTGCCAACAATTCTGGGGATTAGCGGTTGAACCCCTGAGAGTTCAAAGAATTTTTTAATCCCTTTATAAAATAATTTATAACTTCCCAAGAATGTGAGGTATGTGTAATTATCCCTAACTTCTGCTTTTCCAAAAGAAAAAGAGAAATGTTCCCCATCCTTGTTATTAATGTTTATTTCCTGTTGGAGGAAGGCATTTGAAATATGAGCCTCTTGTAAAACTTCAAGCTGACCAGATATTTGCTTCCTCAGGTCTCTTGGCAATAATGGTTGAAATGACATTATCCTACTTTTTCTACGAGGTGAATTTTTTTCAGACATGGTATTTATTCATATTAGTCATTAAGTAGCTAATACATGTACAGCCTACAATGTAGCCAGCAATTCTGGCAGGTAAGGATATCTTGTCATACTGTGATGGGTACCAATAAGGACACAGTAGACTGGGACTCCATCCTAGCGGACCACTGGCTGGACCTATTATCTTAGCACTCTATATATCTCACGCTTTCTACTTGTCAAATAAAAGCCCTAACTTGTATTTTGCTTCTACACCAAAGGACCAAGCTATGTTTTGCTTTCTAAAATTCTTCCAGATAATTTTTTTATTTATTCTTCTCATATAAAATAGGAACAAACCTAAAATGGTTATCTTCTCATTAAAGACAAAATTAAAAGTTATATATATGGAGTTAATATAAAACCAATATTACTCTAAATGTGTCTGATGAGTATTCTAATGATCGGACCTGGTAATCAATATTTTTTTAAAATATATACTCTTTTATACATAAAGAACAATTTTAGTTTATCTCCTATCATGGTATCCCATAAATTACAGTCATTAATTCTGAGTAAATTTATGAAGTCAGTCAAGAAAAACAAATATTACATGTGTATTTCTGGGTTTGTAAAATCTGAGATGCCTATGTGCTTCCAGGTATTTTCTATTTGCAAATATGTGGAGTTAAAAATAATTTTAAAATTTCTTTATTAATACAATAATGGTATTATACTAATGCTACTGGAATTCAATTGCCTTTTTCTGTGTATCAAACATTATCATACTTTGGCCCAGTAATCCCAGGTACTGGGGAGGTAGAGGCAGGAGAATTGCCAGTCCTGGCCAAGTTAAGCAGGAGACCCTATCTAAAAAATGAACTAAAAGAAAAAGGACTTAGGGCATGATGCAAGCTGTAGAGCAAGCATGAGGCTTTGGGTTCAGTTCCTAATACTGAAAGAAAAAGAAAATAATTATCATATTTTATCCACTTACATTAGGTCACTAAACAGTCTGCTCAATTTACTTTGTGGCACAATTATTTTAAAATCCATTTCTCCTGCTTACTCTTACGAATTTCAGAAGGAAAAAAAAAAAGAGTATCATCCCCAATAGTAGCGTAAAACACTTTGCCTCAAATAGGACAGAAACCTAAACATATATGGAAAACATTTAAATGTAAAGAAAAATACTTTGGCTTGGAAAAATACAAAAAGGATTCATTAAAGCTACCAAAGAAAAACCTAATTTGGGACTAAAAACTCTGGCAATGCCATCTTGTGGAGTTTATCTGCTTCAGAATTCCAGTCTTTAACACTGCTATTTCACCATGTGCTGGAAAAAAAAACCCAAAAAAACAAAACTCCCCAAACTCAAGTGTGCCAGGAATTTAAAGGTTAAGTATAGCTTACAATGTCAAAATTCCATAAGCTTCCTAAGTGACACTAATAGAATAAAACAGAGATGACAGAAATAAAATAAGATGTATGTGGAGAATTTCATGTGACCATTTAGACTGAGAAATACCGAGTGTTGTGCTTATATTGTCTGCGTTGCTACCTTTTCCTCAGCTAGGAGTTTAGGGTTATACATCTTTTTAAATTTACTTTGAATGTTCCTGCATGTTTGCTACATCTCTCAGCAGTGCTAAGGATAGGTTGTTTATCTGTGCAGCATACCTACACCAATATCACTGAATGTATACACTGGGATAAAAATATGCTCATTTTGTTAAGTAAATGAAGTACTTGCTGTGAAAAATGTGTTCTTTCAGGCCATCATTTATCTGTATTCATTTTATGTGTATATAAGTGTGCATTTGAATCTTAATTTTTCTTCTGCTTTAGTCTAGAT